GTTGATGCTAAATGCTTTTAGCAAACCTGCATTAGTTTCTGTTTATCTTTATTAGTTTCTGTCTGAGCCTGAAACATCTACAGTTTGAGGACAAGTGAAACTGATAACGAGATTTCATAGTTGCAGTGGAAGCTAATCTGGGCCCAAAAAAAATTACATCGATCGCTTGGTTCGGGTTTATGGGGTCTGTTTGTAGTTTGTAGAACTTTTGATAATCTGGCATTTGATTTCAAGTCAACTGATGTCCTTTGCTCCGCCTCCTTGGGTTCTGTAATTAAGTAATCAACCAGGTAAAACAAATGGGCTAATGATGATACAGAAATCTACCATCAACAACAGCAGATACCGTCAGATCTACCAGGGTCCTCCTACTACCAGGTTCCTCCTACTACCAGGGTCCTCCTACTACCAGGGTCCTCCTACTACCAGGGTCCTCCTACTACCAGGGTCCTCCTCCTACCAGGGTCCTCCTCCTACCAGGGTCCTCCTCCTACCAGGGTCCTCCTCCTACCAGGGTCCTCCTACTAGGGTCCTCCTCCTACCAGGGACCTCCTCCTACCAGGGTCCTCCTCCTACCAGGGTCCTCCTCCTACCAGGGTCCTCCTCCTACCAGGGTCCTCCTCCTACCAGGGTCCTCCTACTACCAGGGTCCTCCTACTACCAGGGTCCTCCTACCAGGGTCCTCCTACCAGGGTCCTCCTACCAGCAGTCTAAACACATTGGGATAAGATGATCTTGCACATCTCCCCTGTAATGATCACCATTGTGTTTCCCTCACACACAAAGAGACAAGGCAGGTAATTATGATCCCAGACAGCTTCCTGCGGAGTCCTCGCTACAACTGGACGGGAGGCGCGACACTCTGGCACCAGACGAGACGTGTCTATCGGCCCGGCGCAGATGTGTCGCATTTATTAATATGCGCTTTCTCTATTTACCCAATGAGATGTATAATCCCCCACCCCCTCCTGTCTTTATTCTCTCGCTCTCTGCTGCTGTGCCCGGAGACAAAGACTAATAAAATTCCATTAAGCACAACATGCACGACCGAGACATATTTATGAGCTCCATTTATTTTAATCACAGTTCTTTGGGAAAGCATTTAAATGCAATTTGCTTTATTGCGTGGATCTCACGACTGTCGTCCTCCTCATTGTGGAATACATATATGGGAAAGAGACACTGTGTGACCGTCACCTCAGGTTTAATATGAGACAGAGACATGTACACTGTGTGACCGTCACCTCAGGTTATATATGAGATAGAGACATGTACACTATGTGACCGTCACCTCAGGTTTAATATGAGATAGAGACATGTACACTGTCTGACCGTCACCTCAGGTTGTATATGAGATAGAGACATGTACACTGTATGACCGTCACCTCAGGTTTAATATGAGATAGAGACATGTACACTGTGTGACCGTCACCTCAGGTTTAATATGAGATAGAGACATGTACACTGTGTGACCGTCACCTCAGGTTTAATATGAGATAGAGACATGTACACTGTGTGACCGTCACCTCAGGTTATATATGAGATAGAGACATGTACACTGTGTGACCGTCACCTCAGGTTATATATGAGATAGAGACATGTACACTGTGTGACCGTCACCTCAGGTTTAATATGAGATAGAGACATGTACACTGTGAGACCGTCACCTCAGATTTAATATGAGATAGAGACATGTACACTGTGTGACCGTCACCTCAGGTTTAATATGAGATAGAGACATGTACACTGTGTGACCGTCACCTCAGGTTTAATATGAGATAGAGACATGTACACTGTGTGACCGTCACCTCAGGTTTAATATGAGATAGAGACATGTACACTGTGTGACCGTCACCTCAGGTTTAATATGAGATAGAGACATGTACACTGTGTGACCGTCACCTCAGGTTATATATGAGATAGAGACATGTACACTGTGTGACCGTCACCTCAGGTTTAATATGAGATAGAGACATGTACACTGTGTGACCGTGACCTCAGGTTTAATATGAGATAGAGACATGTACACTGTGTGACCGTCACGTCAGGTTTAATATGAGATAGAGACATGTACACTCTGTGACCGTCACCTCAGGTTATATATGAGATAGAGACATGTACACTGTGTGACCGTCACCTCAGGTTTAATATGAGATAGAGACATGTACACTGTGTGACCGTCACCTCAGGTTTAATATGAGATAGAGACATGTACACTGTGTGACCGTCACCTCAGGTTTAATATGAGATAGAGACATGTACACTGTGTGACCGTCACCTCAGGTTTAATATGAGATAGAGACATGTACACTGTGTGACCGTCACCTCAGGTTTAATATGAGATAGAGACATGTACACTGTGTGACCGTCACCTCAGGTTATATATGAGATAGAGACATGTACACTGTGTGACCGTCACCTCAGGTTATATATGAGATAGAGACATGTACACTGTGTGACCGTCACCTCAGGTTTAATATGAGATAGAGACATGTACACTGTGTGACCGTCACCTCAGGTTATATATGAGATAGAGACATGTACACTGTGTGACCGTCACCTCAGGTTTAATATGAGATAGAGACATGTACACTGTGTGACCGTCACCTCAGGTTGTATATGAGATAGAGACATGTACACTGTATGACCGTTACCTCAGGTTATATACGAGATAGAGACATGTACACTGTGTGACCGTCACCTCAGGTTATATATGAGATAGAGACATGTACACTGTGTGACCGTCACCTCAGGTTTAATATGAGATAGAGACATGTACACTGTGTGACCGTCACCTCAGGTTATATATGAGATAGAGACATGTACACTGTGTGACCGTCACCTCAGGTTTAATATGAGATAGAGACATGTACACTGTGTGACCGTCACCTCAGGTTTAATATGAGATAGAGACATGTACACTGTGTGACCGTCACCTCAGGTTTAATATGAGATAGAGACATGTACACTGTGTGACCGTCACCTCAGGTTTAATATGAGATAGAGACATGTACACTGTGTGACCGTCACCTCAGGTTTAATATGAGATAGAGACATGTACACTGTGTGACCGTCACCTCAGGTTTAATATGAGATAGAGACATGTACACTCTGTGACCGTCACCTCAGGTTATATATGAGATAGAGACATGTACACTGTGTGACCGTCACCTCAGGTTTTATATGAGATAGAGACATGTACACTGTGTGACCGTCACCTCGGGTTTAATATGAGATAGAGACATGTACACTGTGTGACCGTCACCTCGGGTTTAATATGAGATAGAGACATGTACACTGTGTGACCGTCACCTCGGGTTTAATATGAGATAGAGACATGTACACTGTGTGACCGTCACCTCGGGTTTAATATGAGATAGAGACATGTACACTGTGTGACCGTCACCTCAGGTTTAATATGAGATAGAGACATGTACACTGTCTGACCGTCACCTCAGGTTATATACGAGATAGAGACATGAACACTGTGTGACCGTCACCTCAGGTTATATACGAGATAGAGACATGTACACTGTGTGACCGTCACCTCAGGTTATATATGAGATAGAGACCTGTACACTGTGTGACCGTCACCTCAGGTTTAATATGAGATAGAGACATGTACACTGTGTGACCGTCACCTCAGGTTATATATGAGATAGAGACATGTACACTGTGTGACCGTCACCTCAGGTTTAATATAGGATAGAGACATGTACACTGTGTGACCGTCACCTCAGGTTATATATGAGATAGAGACATGTACACTGTGTGACCGTCACCTCAGGTTATATATGAGATAGAGACATGTACACTGTGTGACCGTCACCTCAGGTTATATATGAGATAGAGACATGTACACTGTGTGACCGTCACCTCAGGTTATATATGAGATAGAGACATGTACACTGTGTGACCGTCACCTCAGGTTATATATGAGATAGAGACATGTACACTGTGTGACCGTCAACTCAGGTTTTATCAGTGTTAAATCACACAAATACTTGCACTGGGTAACATTTGGTTCTTTTTACATTTTTAGTACCCATCTGACCCAAAGGTGGCGTTGCATCTCTAGCTCGACGTTGTTCGACTGGTAGTGTAAAAAGCCGCAATAATTTAACTTGAGAGTTGGGGTAAATTATGTGTTATTAAGATTCGGGTTAATTTAAATTCAATCCCATTTCATCCCAAAATGTATCATAATAATTTTTTGGGCTATATCATACACATGTTATTGCTGTTTTATTCTACTTCCTGTATAAAATATCATTCAAATGTACCTCCATCCTAAATAACCCAGGAAGTCCTTATCTGTCTCCACTAGTGCAAAAGGCCTTTATTTTTTCACAACACTGACTACCACAGACAATTGCATGTGGTGACATTATCCATGTTAGACTCAATGACTCTATTACACTGTAGTGACATTCCAGTAGACATTATAGGATTCTGCAGAATACTGAAGCTTGGCTCCCCATGTCAGCAGAGAGATGAGGAGATTTGTATCTGTGAGCGGTAAATGGGGTATGTTTAAATTAGTACTATGGCTGCTGCTAGCCAGTTTATTCCTACTGTCTTAATGGTTCAATCCAATCAAAGCTTTGTTGCTGTATTGACAAAAAAGCGTTATTCCTTATGGTCAGATTCCTCTGATAATGGGTACAGTATAAAACACAGCAACCAGGGCGTTCCATTTCCTTTTCATAATTAGAGGTATGTAAGAACAGTATTAATATAGTAACTACACATACACCACCATTTCACATTTTTAGGCCACCTCAAAATGTCTGTGTTTTTTAAAGGAAAACAATATCTACATGGTATTTCTGATCAATAGGATGTTAGTTTATTGGACACAATTGTGCTTTTCTCCTTCAAAAACAAGAAAATTTCTAAGTGACCCAAACATTTGAACGATATGGCAGATGGTACTCAATTGCCTTTATTTAACCAGGTAGGCCGATTGAGAACAATTTCTCATTTGCAACGGCGACCTGGGGAGCAGCTGGGATTTGAACCCTGAACGTCATACACACAAATCATGCACTCTACCACTGAGCTATCAAACTTCTCCGGATCTGGACATTATGGTCAAAAGTAGTCAAATATAAGGTATTTCTATACTGTTATTTTGACGAATGTGTTTGCTTTCACATGTTAGAAATGTGGGCACTCTAGCTGTTGTCCACTCAGCTCTGACACAATCTCACACATTACCTAGCTGAAAGAACAGCGTGGGGAAAAGCTTGGTGTGCGTGTCTATGGTGAAACGCTTGGTGTGCATGTCTATGGGGAAAAGCTTGGTGTGCATGTAATATGGGGAAGGTTTGGTGTGCGTGTCTATGGTGAAAAGCTTGGTGTGCGTGTCTATGGTGAAAAGCTTGGTGGGCGTGTCTATGGTGAAAAGCTTGGTGTGTGTGTCTATGGTGAAAAGCTTGGTGTGCGTGTCTATGGGGAAAAGCTTGGTGTGTGTGTCTATGGTGAAAAGCTTGGTGTGCATGTCTATGGGAAAAGCTTGGTGTGCATGTATATATATATATATATATATCTATATATATAACTAATGTATGTCATAACAATGCAGATTGAATCAAAACATGTTAAACTAATGTATGTCATAACAATGCGAATGAACCAAAACATGTTGAACTAATGTATGTCATAACAATGCAGATTGAATCAAAACATGTTGAACTAATGTATGTCATAACAATGCAGATTGAATCAAAACATGTTGAACTAATGTATGTCATAACAATGCAAATTGAACCAAAACATGTTGAACTAATGTATGTCATAACAATGCAGATTGAATCAAAACATGTTGAACTAATGTATGTCATAACAATGCAGATTGAACCAAAACATGTTGAACTAATGTATGTCATAACAATGCAAAATGAACCAAAACATGTTGTACTAATGTATGTCATAACAATGCAAATTCAATTAAAACATGTTGAACTAATGTATGTCATAACAATGCAGATTGAATCAAAACATGTTGAACTAATGTATGTCATAACAATGGAGATTGAACCAAAACATGTTGAACTAATGTATGTCATAACAATGCAGATTGAATCAAAACATGTTGAACTAATGTATGTCATAACAATGCAGATTGAATCAAAACATGTTGAACTAATGTATGTCATAACAATGCAAATTCAATTAAAACATGTTGAACTAATGTATGTCATAACAATGCAGATTGAATCAAAACATGTTGAATTAATGTATGTCATAACAATGCAAATTGAACCAAAACATGTTGAACTAATGTATGTCATAACAATGCAGATTGAACCAAAACATGTTGAACTAATGTATGTCATAACAATGCGAATGAACCAAAACATGTTGAATTAATGTATGTCATAACAATGCGAATGAACCAAAACATGTTGAACTAATGTATGTCATATCAATGCAGATTGAATCAAAACATGTTGAACTAATGTATGTCATAACAATGCAGATTGAATCAAAACATGTTGAACTAATGTATGTCATAACAATGCAAATTGAACCAAAACATGTTGAACTAATGTATGTCATATCAATGCAGATTGAATCAAAACATGTTGAACTAATGTATGTCATAACAATGCAAATTGAATCAAAACATGTTGAACTAATGTATGTCATAACAATGCAAATGAACCAAAACATGTTGAACTAATGTATGTCATAACAATGCAGATTGAATCAAAACATGTTGAACTAATGTATGTCATAAAAATGCAGATTGAACCAAAACATGTTGAACTAATGTATGTCATAACAATGCAGATTGAACCAAAACATGTTGTACTAATGTATGTCATAACAATGCAGATTGAATCAAAACATGTTGAACTAATGTATGTCATAACAATGCAGATTGAATCAAAACATGTTCAACTAATGTATGTCATAACAATGCAGATTGAACCAAAACATGTTGAACTAATGTATGTCATAACAATGCAGATTGAACCAAAACATGTTGAACTAATGTATGTCATAACAATGGAGATTGAACCAAAACATGTTGTACTAATGTATGTCATAACAATGCAGATTGAATCAAAACATGTTGAACTAATGTATGTCATAACAAGTCAAATTCAATTGTACGGTCCAGATATGGCTAAATACTTGTGACATATTTCTAATCTAATGTTTTAAGATACAATATCAAATAATGATAATATAAAAATACTACTAATTAAATACTACCCTGAAAATGTATTTTTAGCATTGACATGTATTGCATTATTGTCTACTTTACACCCAGAGGCAACACAGGCCTTTGAAGACCACCTAGTCGTTACTAATTACAATTAATAATATTAAAATACTAACTTTTTCTGAAAACACAATCTAAAAATGTGTGATGCTTACCGGAGCTTATTCCATTACTGCCATCTGGAGACTCGTGGTTAAGCGCGGCTCGTCCAGGCCTGAACATGGGGTCCTGGCGCCCCGCTGTGTGGTCCTGGCGCCCCGCTGTGAGGTCCTGGCGCCCCGCTGTGTGGTCCTGGCGCCCCGCTGTGCTGTTTCCGACCGTCCGCTGAAAGCCAAGTGATGCTGTCGCGACTCTGTTCCTGGCCCTGTTGTCGCACGGGAAACGCAGATGCAGCTGCGGTGTCTGGTGATGCTGGCTGCTGCTGCTTATGGAGACGGAGGTTTGGTGGAGCTGCTGGTGTCGCTGATACGGGTGGGGATTATGAGTGCATTGATATCCCCCCCGGTCTCCGAGCAGAGGGATATCAACCATTGTAGGTCTTTCGAGCCGCGCCTTTCCTGAGCGCTTATTCGGTGAGATCTTCAGGTTGCTATAAGGACCTCGGTCCACTCGGCACATGTTGGTCCCGCAGAGACCCTCATCTGCAGGTTGCATTTCCCCCTCCATCACTGCAAGATGACGCTCCTACCGCGTCCTTGTATAGCCGGGTTATCCTTTTCGTCACTGTCTCGTTGTCTGGCTCAGTTCCCCCCCAGTAGCCTATTGCTCACTATAATATATATATAATTATAATATTCAGAGGGTGGGATTATTTACTGACAAGCCACAGCTCCAATCCCCAGACGGGGAAATGCAGGCGGGACCTGCTGTCTGGTTCTCTAATAGCCATATATGAAAATACTAAGGTTACTGCACAATACAGCTGCTGTCTGGTTCTCTAATAGACATATGAAAATACTAAGCTTTGAAGCAAAAATTTTCCATTAAATGTTACTCATACCTAATGCAGCCCATAACAATTTCACTTAAAACCAAAAAACCGTTTAATCTACTAATGAGATATAACATGAAATTAAAACAGGCAATAAAAATACCATGTAAACTGTTTTTTAATGTAATACACAGCTAATCTATAGAGTAGATATATACTGTCAATAACAGCCTTTCAGTGTCTATAAATGGAGCAGTACTCGTTTTAATAAATCACTCCACACTACAAACGTGTAGATATAATATATAAATTAATACAAATATAGTTAATTGAAAATAATGGTCAGCTTCTGCTATGTAAGATCAACTATATAAATAGTACATTGCAGATGCTTTTTCACTATGATAAACGAAATGGCCGATGATCATTATTAGGAAAACGCATAAATGGAAGTCCCTCCATCACTTTGCCATCCTGTCCGCATGGGGGCGCCAAAGCGTCATCTCCAGCACGAATGCGCATGTCTGGTGGTCTAATGGTGTGCGTGTGCGCATACAAGGTCCGTGACTAGTAGATAGACATTTCAAATGAGTTTGGACACGGACGGAACATCATCTACACGGTGTCTTCGCGGATCTGGATTTATACAGGATTAATAGCCTACATCTTGTTGTTTTAGAAGGTTTGGGTAAAGTTCAGATAGACTTGGTTTTGATGTCATTTGCGACGTAATAAGATTTTAAGATGGGAATAAATCGGTCCTAAATGTAGACAACCGTGAGAGTTCAATTGAAGCTTCGTTTACACCTGTGACCTCACACTGGACCGTGTTTTACACCTGTGACCTCACACTGGACCGTGTTTTACACCTGTGACCTCACACTGGACTGTGTTTACCCCTGTGACCTCACACTGGACCGTTTTTTTTACACGTGACCTCACACTGGGCCTTGTTTTACACCTGTGACGTCACCCTGGACCTTGTTTTACACCGGTGACCTCACCCTGGACCGTGTTTTACACCTGGGATCTCACACTGGACCGTGTTTTACACCCGTGACCTCACACTGGACCGTTTTTTACACCCGTGACCTCACACTGGACTGTGTTTTACACCTGTGACCTCACACTGGACCGTGTTTTATACCTGTGACCTCACACTGGACCGTGTTTTATACCTGTGACCGCACACCTCTGCTATAATGGACCGGAATGCAAATATGCCATAATTATTCCCATGGTTGAATTACACTCCACTCAAGCATGCCAATTAGACTGTGGATTTATTCTCCAACCGCGTTAATCATGCGAGTGTATTACATGTGAATGACGACCCAATATAGGTACCACTGGGCTTTACAAGTAGGTACTGTCGGGATGGGTCGCCTGCTGAACTGCCTCCTGCTGTGGTACCTGACCTGGTACCTATCAGACGCCCAGGGGGAGTACTGCCATGGGTGGCTGGATACTCATGGAAATGACCATGAGGGCTTTCAGTGTCCGGAGGATTTCGACACCATGGACGCTACTGTGTGCTGTGGGTCGTGCTCCCTCCGGTACTGTTGTGCTGCAGTGGATGTCCGACTGGACCAGGGGACCTGTACCAACCACAGAGAACTGGAGAACACGGAGTTTACAGCACGTAAGTTCTAATGGGTACTGATATTTGCATAATTATATATAATATATATTATACTTTTGTGTCTTTAATTTTGTTTTTTTTGGTTTACCAAGATAGATATATAACATATAATGGAAAATGCTATTTTAATCCACATGATAACTCTTTCATATTCTCCAAAGCCGCTCATTTAAATGTAGCCAATGCATGTGCTTTAATACACACGTACCAATAGTTATTTATAATGATCTATCTAATACAAGACGCAGGAATCACATATTTATGCAG